GCCCTGTCAAGTGTCAACAACCTAGCTAATGTGGTGGAAGACCACGGAAGGTACGATGAATCAGAGACCATGCATCGGCGTGTACTGGAGGGGCGCGAGAAGATTCTTGGACCAGACCACCCAGACACCCTGTCGAGTGCCCACAACCTGGCTAATACGCTGCGAAACCAAGGAAAGTACGCCGAATCAGAGTCGATGCATCGGCGTGCACTGGAGGGGTGCGAGAGGATTCTTGGACCACACCACCCAGGCACCCTGTCAAGTGTTAACAGCCTTGCTATTACGCTAGGAGACCAAGGAAAGTACGCCGAATTAGAGTCGATGCATCGGCGTGTACTGGAGGGGCGCGAGAGGATTCTTGGACCAGACCACCCAGGCACCCTGTCAAGTGTCTACAACCTGGCTAATACGCTGCGAAACCAAGGAAAGCACGACGAATCAGAGTTGATGCATCGGCGTGCACTTGAGGGGCGCGAGAAGATTCTTGGACCACATCACCCAGCCACCCTGTCGAGTGCCATCAGCCTAGCTACGGTGGTGCAGCTCCAGCGTGGGCGCGGTGAATCAGGGGTCATAAGGCGGCATCTACGGCGGGCACTACTAAGAAATCCGGAAAATACCCGACCCCAATCCGCCGGCCATGCCCTTCGTCGTTCACAGAAGACCGCAGTTCCCCCCGTTCACCACGGATCGCAGTCCTCCGCTAGGTCGGCGGGCCGGTAAAGTGGTTCACCACATCCGAGGTAGTTCGGTTGCACTAGGGGCGTGAGAGGTGGGCTACCAGCTTCAACCCGCGGAGGAGGCACTTCGAATATACCGGGAAAAACCACAGTTTGTGCGGAGTTAGGAACGCCAAACTAGAGGCTGTCAGTCGTATGTCATTGCAGTACAGTATGAAGGATGTATTGGGCATTTTTAACTTCTTTTTGTATTTGTTTTCCCTTGTTTGTTTTCTCTTTTTGTGATATACCAGCCCGCACACCTTCTCACCAGGTAAATTCCTTGCAATCAGTTCGGTGGTTCCAGGATAATATATTTGATTGAGCTTGTATTCACGCAATCCTTGTCTACTACCTGGAATCATAGGAACTCACTCGTTGGCTATCCCCCAGCATTGGTTGAAACATGCTTCTGACACTACGAGTAACGGGTATTGTGGCATCATTCAGACTCTTACTTTTTCTCCTTACATCAATTCCTATCCCAGGCACACATCTGGGCCTCCGGTACTATTAAAGATACCTCCTTGCATTTCTATTTACTTTTCTTTCCTCTGCTATTGTTCCTGTTCGCTCAACCTAATTGTCTCGCTCACAATAGTAGATAGTAAGAGCTTCTCGCTCTTCCTTTCTAGAGAATTAAGCATTCATCGTTCTCAATAACACAATCTTCTTTGCCGTGCAAAACACTCCTCACCATACTCTCACAATAGCATTGTCTCCCAATCGTCGAAACACAATCAGCGTTGCTCGCCGCCCTCCCATGCTCTCCCTGCTGATTGATTTCCCGTCAGCTTTCTTCCCGGGCTTTTTGCGGCCCGGCGTTCCAAGATCTCAAATGGATCTGCACTGACCCTCTCATCCCTGCGCTTCTGCCAATGGCAGGCATTACAACCTGCCCCATTCCGACCATTTCGGGCCATCCCAACACCCTAGCCAGTGTTAGAAACCTAGATATAGCGCTGCTACTATCCCAAGGAGAGAAGGGTGGATGGGAAATGGTGAGTTGTTACCTAGGGCATTGCGTAACACCAGTTCTCACTCGTTAATCTCAATGGCGCACATATGATTCCTTCTTCCGGAATTTAGTAGTTATTCTTTCTATTTCTGGTATTTATGATGTAGAAAAGTTCAGGATCAATCTGCTCAGAAACTTGCAGCGGCCCATCCTCCGGCTGAAAAGAACCGGGAGAGTGGTTAGAAGTCCGGAATAGAGCAGAATCAGGCCGGGGGTAGAATAGAGCGAAAGTGGACAGAAGGGAATTGGGACAAGGCAGCGGGGGGAGAAAAGAAGGGGAAATAAGGTGAGAAAAGTAAGAATCTGGGTGCGGTCTTCGCAGGAAGCCAGGCCGGCCCGCACATAGCCTATAGATATACAGTCCAGCCAGCCCGGTAAAAGTGAGACCACCTGCCCGCGCTTTATGGGTGCCTGGCAGCGCCGGCAGTCCTCCAAAATGTCCCATACGCTATTTAAATACTTTGTCCATGCAGAGCAGATATCTAAGGATGCCCACAGATATCAGTAGATATGTTGCGACCCCTCCAACTGTCTTCAAATACCCGCAGATATCTGCAAATACCCCCCGATATGAGATCTCCGAATATTGGCAAATATCAGCATTTATTATGTAATATATGAGGCTATCTTCGGCCGGCGGAGACCTGGGACCCAGGGGAATAGAAAGGTTTTGCCGCAGGTTCAAGGGTTTGAGGGAAGTGCTGGGTTTGAGGGAAGTGCTGATGAAGGGGAAATTTCATATCACGCTGGACTCCCAAAATGCACCGTGGATAGATTACTTCCGTGTCAACAATTATTATCTGATTCTCAAGCCGTTCCCCCCTGCCACCTCTGTATCATCACGAACCTCGAATTCCCCCTACGTTTCCTCTTTGCTTCATCTTGACCACATGGTTCGGCAAACACACTCCATCCTAACAATTCCGCATCAATAACAATTCTTCCTTTTTTTCATATGATGAGCTGGTTAGGGACTATTTATGCATAAATGTGACTTTTTACACCGGATCCACACTGGGATCCACCCCCGGCGGTCGTTAATCCCGTGCTCATCCGAGGTGCGACCCCCGATAGGCACTGTCATATTGTGAGATGTATGATCCCGTCGCTCAATGCGTTTACGAGTGACATTCTGCTGGACCCCATGACATTTGTACATCTGCCACAATGAAGTGGCCGACACTAAGGCGAAGAGTTCTACTCAAAGTTCCTTAAACCTAGTTGGATGGGAAATCTACTTCGGAATCGGACATGCCATGTTGGCCCGGGAATTGGGAAAATCAGGATGGAAGGACTGGCATTGAGGATAGGGGTATAGCTACTATAAGCTTGACCCTACCGGACCCCGACAGCGCCGGTCGCCCTCCCGCAGGGATGTGTATATCTTAAGTAGGATCCGCGGATTATCAGTCAAGTAGAGCACGACCGGCGAGACAAAAGGGAATCTTGATTCCCCTTGACCGTCCCCGCCATTTGAAGCTATTTAATTATTCTGCGATACCGGAATGGAGGGCGTGGTGTAAGAAACGCTGGTACCCCGGCCTTAGAATTTCCACTTATAGGATAGAACTACATAGCTGCCAGTGGTCGCCGGGAACCCAGTTAACCGTACTGTGTGCTCTGAATTGGACGGACTGACGGTGTGCCTGTCTCTCGAGCTGTGGGGTCCGCGATGTATGCGGAAACGTGCGATGAATGGATAATGTATGCTACCTCTAGTGTTCGCAACGGTCCATGGGCCCTGGAGGCCCGGTGAGGAGATTGCCAAGAAGACTGGACTGGGCGGGGCTGCAAATTAATAGTCCGTCCAGTCCGGACAATATTGCGGACCACAGGCTTTGGCAAAGACCACGGGCCCGACATACTAAGACATAATTTTGCTGTCCCGGTACAAGGACTTCAGGTGACTACAGGATTTCACTACCGGACGGTAGGGATCCATGGGGATCTGGGGGGGCGGCAGAGATTGGTGGGGATCTATAGGAATCGGTAGGGATCTGCGGGGGTCAGCTGGAATCTGTGTATCTGTGGGTAACAGCCTTCCGATGGGGCCCCGTCGGGCCCCACAATCCAAGACATTTTATCAACTAGTTCTGGTGGCCCGTGGTCTTCCCCGTCCCCCTGCCAAAAGCCCTGTGCAAAACTCTCTCCAAGACTGGACGGACTATGAGTTGCAGCGCGTCCTGGTCCTACCCTTAGGACGGACGGACTGCCCCGTTGCGAACACTGGTTGCCTCCAAAACCCAAGCGGGCTATGTGGCACTATAGTGAGACATCGGAGGTTAATTGCGATTGTCGGTGTGGCGTGACGATTGGCATCGAAGGGACGGGTAGGCGCTGAACGGTCAAGTTAGCACAGCATTTCGGAGACAGTCCGGACAGCAAGCCTTCCTGGGAGCACGAGTTCTAGAAGCCGAAGTGGGACTAGTGGGGTGAACCGCCCCTTAGTTTTTGTGGCTCGGCGGGGAAGGCTGAGGGTGTTGACGGGTCTTAGGGATAGAGTGTTTTTATTGTTTTGTAGTCACCACGGTGGGTTTGGGTAGACCGCAGAAAATATACCATCGCACGTTCAATACTGGTCTCCGGGGGAGTATCGTACCTTGTGCAGGATCTCTCCATCTATCATACGACAATGCACGGAGGCCTTCCAATTAGTGAGCTTTCCAGGTTTGGAAAATGTTTTCCACGCCTAATACTAAGTCTTTTAACTATTTAACCTGTTACTACTTACATAAACTTAAACTTGCCATACTAGTAGGTATTTATTGAGATCGATATATAAAAATGGTTAGTAAGCTCTCAGAGTATCCCCTCCCGCTAAGTATACATGTAGGGGCGATGGTTACTATCATAGTGATATCGCTCTCACGGGATTCCAGTATTTACGTCGTTACCACAGTGTCCCAGGTAGTGCAAACGGTATATTTTTCCCCCGCCGAGGATAACCATTACGAAAGATGTGATAACCCTTGGCCCATAGATAAAGGTATCGCAAATACAAACGAAGGGACTACCCTCCCAGGGCGCGCCTCCTCTTTTGAATATCATACTTCCCAGAAGGTAACCGCGGGTACAGAGCCAGATATGTGGGGTGGAGTGGGGACACAAACTTAGCTTACCGGTGTGGGAGTGTCCCTGTTGACCCCCGAGACTGGGTGGTGTTTTCGACCGGGCTGCGCTTGTGGAATATGAGTTGCTAGGATCGCTGAATAACTTCCTTGTAAACCGTAGGATAGGGGGAGCAAAAATATAGGTGATTGAGGTTCGTGAAATATGACCGATAGTGGGGGGGTAGGGGTGATGAAGCAGGACCCGATAGATTGATGGAAAGCAATATCGATTGGTGCTGTGTGTGGTGGTTGTTGTTCACGTCTAACCGAGAAGGGAAGGTGCCAGACGATATAATATTATGATACAGAAAATTCAGCCTGCCAAGACATGCCCTCGGAGAAAGCTTTTATTAGCGAAAACCATCCCACTGACCACAAGCAATCAAACATAGCTCCACCACACTAGCACGATACCTGGTACTTGTACTCGTGAAATTAGAATCAAAAAGAAAAAACGGGGGAACAAAAGGTAAGCATTTCCCGTAGGAACCTGGAGATACCTGGACTTCGGAACAAAAATCTGGCTAATGGCCCATTCCCCTCGTAGAAAAAAAAAACCCGGTTTTCTAGGTCATCACAGTAAAGACTGAATTGCACAATGTTATAAAAAACTTAATCATTGCGATTAGGAAAGTATTTTTGAGATTGCATCCCAAGGTAGCTCCGTGAGTTCTGAATTTTGCAGATTATGGAATAACAGCAAGGTTGTGGAAGGGTTGTCGCCTTGTGGCAAGTTGATTCGCTTGCCATTTACTAATCTGGATATCGTATCGCCATGCCAGCCTCGTATGATATCATACAACCTTCGATACCCCCCGCCACTTTGCCCTAGTTCCCGTTGAGAATTCGCACAGATGCGGAGCCGACAGCCTTCACACGTGCTGACGCAAGCCAGCTCGGTTCCAAGGGCCTCTCCGAACGATCATCAATGCAGTGTACCGTCAGGGTGTTGTCTCGTCTCTTTACACTGCTTTATGGGCCGGCTCGGATTTTACAAGTAGGTGTCTGATCGACTTCAAGATGCGGCCATGCGAGAAAAGAAGCCGGCAGGAGGCCAAGGCCCATCCAAGCATGGACCAAACAACTCTACATTCATGTATCGCCATCATTGAATAGGCTCAATTTTATTTATTTGCTCAGAAGCTCCAACTGATAGAGCACTGTACCCGCACCGGTGCCGCTATCCCAAAATGCATAGCTGCCGTTCGATGCCGGAAAAGGCTTTTGCAGTCAGGGGGTTGTAGTCACCTTGTCGACTCATGTACGATTATCTTATCGAGTAAGAGGCATGCACCAAGCACCAGCCACTGCCCAAGCCACGACCAAAGTCGATCAAACGCTGGGATATCTCCCGAACTAAATTTAGCAGGGAGTTATAATAGCCATGTAGTCACAATACCCATTGTTTGCTTCTCCCGGTCCTCTACCCCGCCCGGGCAGCTACTCGAGTAAAAGACTTTTGGTCTTCCTTGCTGCCCTGAGACGCTGTCGCTGATACCC